AACTTGCCCCAGGCTACCCGCCTCCCAGCTGCAAAAGAAAAGAGTTTGGTTCCTCCCCAACCTGTGGAGTCTGGATGCTGGATCCACACCCTCGGCAGAGTTCTGGCCAGGAGGCTTCTTGGCCTGTTCAAATTGTTACAAAGTTTAGCTGGACACATCCTTCTCTCTGTGGCATCCCTCCACCCCACTCCCCCACACCTCTGGCTGCCCTCCCAAAAGGATTCCTGTGAAGCCAGCAGGAAAGGCCTGCTTGGGGACCCAGTGAGTTCCCAGGACCTATCCTGCTCCTCTACTGCATAATTTGCTTGGCTCTGTAAATTGTCTCAGCTCCTGAAAGTGTGAAACTTCCCGCAAACTAGACGTTCATTTTCCCCAGTGGGGGTGTGTGTTCTGGAGAGGAAGGTCTCCCTTTCCCACTTCCGCAATTTGGGCACTCACAGTATTTGGGGTGTCTCCTGGGTCCTGCAGGAGCAGTCTGCTTCTTTCAGAGGGTCTGTGGGTTCTCTTGGGATTCCTGCTTTGTTCTTGCAGTCATTCTGGAGCTAAAATTCATGATGTGAGCCTCCACACACTGCTCTGTCCATCCGAGTTAGAGCCGCAATCTAGTCCTGCCTCCCATCTGCCATGATGATCTTACATTTCTATGTTTTAATATTCTGCATAGCACTGTAGTGCTAGCTGATGTTTCTCTTCTTTATGTGTTTATTTACTGTTTTTGTTTTTTGTTTTGTTTTGTTTTTGAGATGGAATTTTGCTCTTGTTGCCCAGGCTGGAGTGCAAATGTGTGCTCTTGGCTCACTGCAACCTCTACCTCCCGAATTCAAACGATTCTCCTGCCTCAGCCTCCTGAGTAGCTGGGATTACAGGCACCTGCCATCACATCCAGTTAATTTTTTTTTGTAATTTCAGTAGAGACAGGGTTTCACTATGTTGGCCAGGCTGATCTCAAACTCCTGACCTCAGGCGATCCACCCTCCTCAGCCTCCCAAAGTGCTGGGATTACAGGCATGAGCCACCGCATCTGGCTCTGTTTACTGGTTTAATGCTCACTTCTCCCCGCTAGCATGTAAGCTCCGTAAGAACACAGCTCTTATCGCTGTCTCTCCCCAGTGGCAAGAATAGTGCTTCAAATACAATAAATACTTGGTAAAGATTGCATGAATGAAATCTCAGGAACACCTTGTATGTTTTTAAAGATTTCCAGGTGAGTGTGACTTCAGCCAGGCTAGAAAGCACTGGAGTGATACCTGCATTGTCACTCTCGCTATGCTGGAATATGGAGGGTAGTAAGAAGTGACCTTGAAAAGTACAGAATCAGGCCAGACAAATGAAGCATTGCTCTCTTCAGCTTTGCCTTTAAGCATACTGTTTCCAAGACCCAGAATATGCCCTCCCCAACATCCCTAAGCTATTGAGTTCAGGTATCATCTTTAATAACTACAAACATTCAGGGCAATTATTTTGAATTACTTACTTTATTTTCCCCAGTCTCAAATACTGTCTTACATACAATAGATACTCAATGAATGTTTCTTGAATTGCACTGCTCAGAGATTTGCTCCAGCCCACTGGACTTGCTGGTGTCCTCTACTACAACTTACATAATACTAATGTTAGCTGAGGAGAGCAAAGATCTCCTGGTGGTCAGCAAGCAGACCATCTGGAGGCAAAACTCCTTATCTGAGAAATTCAGAAGTAATTAGATGTCCTTCCTATCTAAAGCTGGCATCTGGTACCAGGCTTCTTTCCCAAAAACTTTTAAGTAACTAGAATTTCTATAGATCTTCAGACTGTATGTATGTCAAAACTCATTGTACAATTCTTACTGATGTCACGGCACCAAAACGTCTACAAATGTAATCATTTATCATGACCTGTGTGACTAATATGGTCCAAATTACCCTTAAGCTCCTGCTTGAAGGTCCATAATTACCCCTAAGGAAAATCCACTGCAGCACCCCCAGTCCTCTCTTGCTGAAGCACCCGCCCATTGCACTCTGCTACAGTGTTCTTTCCATCTAATACAACTTTCCTTTTCAAACCTATACGTTTGTTGGTAAATTCTTTTTACCACCCTCAAGCCAATCACTCTCTGTGGCAAGGCTCTGACACCACACCTGGCATTAGCTATCATATATTTAATACATACCATGTGCCAGGTACTGTGCTAAACCCTTACCTATAGGGGTTTGGGCCACAATCCCAAGTGTTGAAATCCCAAAAGATCAAAATTCTGAAAAAAAATTCTAAAAAAAATTTTTTTAAGTTCTTTAAAGGTATTTACATTTTTAAAAGATTTATTTGAGAAACATATTGGCCAGGTGAAGTGGCTCATGCCTGTAATCCCAGCACTTTGGGAGGCCAAGGCGGGAGGATCACTTGAGCCCAGGAGTTCAATATCAGCCTGGGCAAGATAGTGAAACCTCATCTCTACAAAAAATTAAAAAATAGCCCAGCGCAGTGGCATATGCCTGTAGTCCCAGTGACTTGGGGAGGCTGAAGTGGGAGGATCACTTAAGCTTGGGAGGTCAAGACTGCAGTCAATCATGATCACTCCACCACACTCTAGCCTGGATGATAGAGAGAGACATTGTCTCTTAAAAACAACAACAACAAAACAAACAAACAAAAACAACAGAACACTTTATGGGCCACTTTACACAAAATAGGCAATAGTAACATACATATTTTTGCAAGCATAAACACTCAGGTATACTAAAGACAGTCACACAGGCACAACATCTATAAGCAGACAAATCATATTCATAAAGAAATAGCTTATACAACTGCAGTCATCTGAAATACTTACAGAATGGGAGTTAGATGAAATTAACTCCTTGGTCTCTTCCAACTCTAAAAATTATATGCATCTATGAGTTACTAGCCTTTCACACATTTGATTCAGCAGTACCATCTGCTTCTGCATTTCTATATCTTTCAAATGGTGGTTATATCAAAACAACATAAAACTGTTTCCATTTCCGTAAGTTCTTTTTTGAAATCACCTGACTTGATTCGAAACATGAAAAGTAAACTGAAAGAAGCCACATTACTAAAGCCACAGAAGAGAATTACTTCCTCAAATACACTCTGTGTATTTCCTAACATTGTTAATATCATTGGTTTAATCACCTATGGGAGGAAAATACTCACTATTAAGAGTATTTCTGAAGAGAGTTATACAATAATCAAATTTTAGGCTATCTAATGGTGGTACTAGCCCTAGTACATATTTGAGGAGAAAAGTTAAGCACTAATCCCTAATATATTTGTTATTTATGAATTTTAGAAATTACAGAAATGAGAAACATAGAGTGAGGGGAGAAGAGGAAAAACCTGGTCCAAATTCCTTTTTTTAATTGAGAAGATAGCATAAGAAGGAGCCCTTAGCTTTTCTTGGTGAAAACCTTTTGTAATTCATTTAACCTCTCTGAGTCTCAGTTTGCTAAACTTCAGAATTAGCGGGTTTGAACCAAATAATGTCTCAGATTGCTTCCAAATCTGTGAATTAACCCCAAGGGTATGAAAGCCTGTCACAATTCCTTTTAAAATCCCTTTTAAAACATAGTAGCAGGTTTGAAAACGTATTCCTAACCTGCAAAGATTAGTTCTTAGGTTGAAGGTCACAGCCACAAATGAATTAAGAACTGAAATTTAAGCCTATTTTTAATAAGGCTACAATCTAGCAGTGAAAGCTATAAAATTCTCAGTCTAACAAAGACTGGGTAATGGTTTTGATTCCTAAACTCTTGACAACCAACGCTGCACAGCGGTTTTGATGTATTTTCTCCATTGGTAATGAAGAGATGAAGAGGAAAGCAAGCAAGAAAAAAATCAGGACACTGAGGTCAGCACAGAGGGGGATCCAAAAAAATTTCAGAGATGGATTAGAGAGAGGAGCATAGAAAATGTAGAACTCAGTCAGCAATGGTTCATAAATCCATTACCTGTGTTGGAAGATTCCTTATAATGAGATCATCTTCTAGGATGTAGTAACCAATTCTGGTTTTTTCCAACCATTCTACAACCATCATACAGATGCAGATTGTTCTGCCTGTCAGTCTTCACCATCCCAAACTGAACAATACAAATCTCTGGCCTGTCCTCATAAATTCCATTTTAATGTGAAACTCAGTGTTTAAGTTTTTCCTTCTAACTATATTCTCTTCAGCAAGATTAGGTAGCTCATTTCCAGAGTTTATTTTGGTCCCTGCTTGATATTTACCACCTCCTTATGTACCCAACACCATCCATCCATATCCTAACCAACACCCTAGAGTTGAGGCAGAGTGGGTGCCTGGGGGGATGTCCCAATACGAGAAGGGAATTAACACCTGAAACAAGCTTATTAGCCTTTTAAATGAAATGACTCAGCCTATGAAATTCTCTCTCTCTCTCTCTCTCTCTCTCTCTCTCTCTCTCTCGCTCTCGCTCTCACTCTCCGTCTCTCTGTTTCTCTTTCTGTCTCTTTTGAGAGGCATGGTCTCACTCTGTTGCCCAGGCTGGAGTATGGTGGCTATTCACCACCATGATCATAGAACACTGCAGCCTCGAACTCCTGGGCTCAAGTGATCCTCCTGCCTCAGCCTCTCCTCCCAAGTAGCTAGTGCTACAGGTGTGCACCACCAGGCCCGGCTATTTTTTTTTTTTATTTTGGTCTCTAACTCCTGGCTTCATGTTATCCTCCTGCCTCGGCCTCCCAAAGCACTGGGACTACAGGTGTGAGCCACTGCACTTGGTCACTTACAGATATTTTTTAATGTCCCTCAAAATGGAGAAATGATTTGAAGAAGTACTCATTTCTCTAACTATATCTCTATAGCAGTAAATTCCACAGAAAAAAGGAACCAAAAAGAGGAAAAGACCTCACTGAGTATTTAAATAATAGTAAGTTCAAGCTTGGGGAGTAGCATCAGCCAGAAGAAAGACGTATGAAATGAAGGCAAAGTGGCATTGATTTTGTTCACTCTGTTCCTAGTGAGAAGATTGATGGTGTAGAGTCACTTTGGCCTGCTCAAGACCAATCTGGCATAAAGATACAGCTCCGAGGTAAGATTCTCTGGACTAGCAGGTTTCTCCTAGAGCTATCATCTGAATTGACCCTCTAGGCTTATTGTACATCAGTTTCCCAAGGCTCCTGTGGCCTTCCCCTGGGCCTGCAGCTCAGTGTTCCCAAGTGGAGGTGGGGTCTTCCTGAAAGCCACTTGTGGCTGGGTGCAGTGGCTCACGCCTGTAATCCCAGCACTTTAGGAGGCCAAGGTGGGCAGATTACAAGGTCAGGAGTTTGAGACCAGCCTGGCCAATATGGTGAAACCCCGTCTCTACTAAAAATACAAAAATTAGTCAGGCATGGTAGCAGGTGCCTGTAGTCCCAGCTACTGAGGAGGCTGAGGCAGGAGAATCGCTTGAACCCAGGAGGCAGAGGTTGCAGTGAGCCAGGATTGCGCCACTGCACTTCAGCCTGAGAGACAGAGTGAGACTCCGTCTGAAAAAAAAAAAAAAAGAAACTGAGGGGCTTAGTAGGAGAAAAAGGCTCAACAAGTTAAGTCTAAACGTGCAGAGCTGGTAAGTGGTAGAGGTAGGATACAAACCCAGATCTGTGGGATGCCAGAGTCTGAGATCTGCCCCATTTATTTATTCTTAAGTACTTTAAAATCATTTTAAAGGTGTTTAAGGATGAAGAAATCTCCTGGTTATGTGCAATAAGTCAGAATTCCTAGGAAACTTTATATGATATTCAGAATCACTATCAACATGAATTAGAAAAGTTGTACTATGATTTTGCCCATGTTCTACATTACTTTCAGATGTCCTTCTAGAGCTCAGATGCACAATTAAAAGAAAAATCTTTCCTATAATTCAGGTATCTAGTTTCTCATATGCCCACACATAAAGAGACTACACACACACAACACAGACACACATACACACATTCCACAGAAAAACATACAAAGACAACAGACACATACATACACAGAGACCACACAAATACACTGAGATACACATACACTGATCACAGGCACACCTCTACAGACAAACTCCATGGATAAAAACACCACAGAGACTTTGATTCCCCAGAACCACCACCAGCACAAGACAGCTGAGGGTTGATGGGGAAAAGGGACACTATACCATATCAAAGCATAGCAAATAGATTGTAATTATTAGACGTTCCTATTTTTAAATCCCCTGTGTCATTTCTGCTTCTCAGAATACTTCATTGACTCTTTCTCCTCTTTAGGACTTCTAAACTCCTGTTGAGTTTTTTTCTGTGCTGCGTGTCTTAAAGTCATCCTTGCCTTCTACCCTCTTCTTAAGGTCCCAGGGCCTTCACAAAGCTTCTCTCTCAAGTTCTCATTCTTTGATTTGCCATTGCCTGTCCATTTCGTACCCTTCAGACTCTATTTTTTATTCCCAAAGAAGACTACTAAGGTATTTTCCTGAAAAATCATTTTTCTACTTTAGAGAAAAATTTTGCAATTCCCTTAGAAGGCAGAATTAACTTAGGAAGTTGTGATTTTACAAAGCAATTATGGCTGGGCACAGCAGCTCATCCCTTTAATCCTAGCACTTTGGGAGGCTGAGGTGGGAGGATCACTTTAGGCCAGGAGTTCGACACCAACCTGGGCATCACAAGACCCTTTTCTCTACAAAGAATTTTAAAATTAGCCAAATGTGGTGCTGCACACCTGTGATCCCAGCTATCTGGAGTCTGAGGCAGGAAGATTGATGAAGCCCAGGAGTTCCAGGCTGCAGTGAGCTAGGATTGTGCCACTGCACTCCAGCCTATCTCTAAAAAATAAATAAAAATAAAATAAATAGCAATTATCTTACTTATCTGTATATATTCTTAGAATGTTTTTGTTTAGTGGGGAAAAAAGCATCATTAGTAATTTCCATTGCTTTATCCAATTTATCTAAAACCGGTTTGCTGATATGACTCTGTTATAATAGCTATTTTCCAAAATATTCTCAGGTTTATATTTTTGATACCATGGGATCCATTATCCAAGGAATTGTATATTTTAGATAATAAAACACTGATTCATGGAGCATTGTTAAAAACACTACATATGAATTACCAAGTTTCAAAGAAGTAATATAAAACAGTAGTAGAGTTTCCCACCTGGTACAATGGAGGCATGGTGGAAAATACTGATGGATAAGACATGTAACCCAAAGAAGCCTCACTTTCCCCTCTGTTTAAAGATTTGCTTCACAGACTTTACGAGGAAAAACAGAAATGATTTTATTTATTTATTTATTTTTATTTTTATTTTTTTTTTTTGAGATGGAGTCTCACTCTATCACCCAGGCTGGAATGCAGTGGCATGATCTCGGCTCACTGCACCCTCCGCCTCCCGGGTTCAAGTGATCGTCCTGCCTCAGCCTCCCGAGTAGCTGGGACTACAAGCGCACGCCACCACGCCCAACTAATTTTTGTATTTTTAGTAGAGATGGGGTTTCACCATGTTGGCCAGGATGGTCTCAATCTGCTGACCTCGTGATCTGCCTGCCTTGGCCTCTCAAAGTGCTGGGATGAGAGGCGTGAGCCACCGTGCCCAGCCAGAAGTGATTTTTATAGAAAGCTCCTGGCATACCACAAATATTGGATAAACATGAGTTTGGTGACTTTTCTCCTTTTTGTCCCCTCCTCAAGAATGAACTATTAATATTACTACATCTGGCCAGGCACGGTGGCTCACACCTGTAATCCCAGCATTTTAGGAGGCCGAAGTGGATGGATTACCTGAAGTCAGGAGTTTGAGACCAGCCTGGCCAACGTGGTGGAACACTGTCTCTACCAAAAATACAAAACTTCGCTGGGCATGGTGGCGAGTGTCTGTAATCCCAGCAACTCAGGAGGCTGAGGCAGAAGAATAGATTGAACCCAGGAGGCAGAGGTTGCAGTAAGCCAAGATCACGCTACTGTACTCCAGCTTGGGTGACAGAGCAAGACTCTGTCTCAAAAAAATCAAAAAAAAAATTACTACATCTTACAATACACTTCCCTCTTTTGTTGATGTTTCTGAAGATACTTCACAATCTTGTGGTGGCTTTCAACTCCCATATGAATATTCGTTCTCACCATTATGTGCTGAGTATTAGAATACTAGATAATAGTATTTACTATATATAATTAGCTCATGAGAGAAATCTAATTATAAAACCCATGAGTACTAATTTGCCACATTGCTATTATTTTTGTTATTCAAGTTCATTTCATTAGCAACTTTTGCCCTCACCAAGTCAAATAAGACTTATTCTACATTGTCTTATTCAAGAAGTTTTGCCCATCAAAAAGGGTCAGACTTCTGCTTAATGTCCAAGTAGAAGATTTTTGACCATGTGCAGTGCCTCACACCTGTCATCTCAACACTTTGGGAGGCCAAGTAGGAGAATCGCTTGAGTCCAGAAGTTCAAGACCAGGCTGGGCAACATAGTGAGACCCCCGTCTCTACCAAAAAAAAAAAAAAAAAAAAAAAAATTAGCCATCCTGCTATTGTGCACCTGTAGTCCCAACTCCTCAGGAGGCTGAGGCAGGAGGATTCCTTGAGCCCAGGAGGTCGAGGCTGAGTGAGCTGTGATCACTCCACTGCACTCCAGCCTGGGTGACAGAGTGAGATCCTATCTCAGAAAAAAAAAAAATAGATTTTTAACTACCTAATTATTTAACAATTGTCAAAATGTCCCAATATTTACTTCTTTTTCACATTTATTTCATTTCATCTGTATATTTCAACTTTTGATGCTCAAATTCATCTGATGTTAATTCTTCATTAAAACATAAAAGTATAGACCTTGGAAAAATATTTGATTTGCAGAAATATTTTGCTTACCGCTGTTAAAATATTATCATTTGGACTAGACCTATCACTATGTAAAAAATTACTCTTTAAATTTTTACATTTAACCTTTACTTTTTTTTTTTTTCTTGTTATTTGCACTGTTTCTCACTCCACAGGTAATTATGGATCTGATCAATTCTACTGATTACCTGATCAATGCCTCTACTTTAGTAAGAAACAGCACTCAGTTTCTAGCTCCTGCATCAAAAATGATTATTGCCCTTTCTTTGTACATTTCATCTGTAATTGGTACCATCACCAATGGCCTCTATCTATGGATGCTAAGATTCAAGATGAAACAGACTGTCAATACTCTCTTATATTTTCATCTCATTTTCTCATATTTTATTTCAACATTGATTCTGCCATTTATGGCCACTTCCCAACTTCAGGACAATCACTGGAACTTTGGAACTGCCTTGTGCAAGGTCTTCAATGGCACTTTGTCTCTGGGGATGTTCACCTCTGTTTTCTTCCTTTCGGCCATCAGTCTTGATCGTTACCTTCTCACTCTTCACCCAGTGTGGTCCCAGCAGCACCGAACCCCACGCTGGGCTTCCGGCATTGTCCTAGGAGTCTGGATCTCAGCCGCTGCCCTCAGCATCCCGTATTTGATTTTCAGAGAGACACATCATGACCGTGAAGGAAAGGTGACTTGCCGAAATAACTATGCTGTGTCTAGTAACTGGGAAAGCAAGGAGATGCAAGCATTAAGGCAGTGGATTCATGTAGCCTGTTTCATCAGCCGCTTCTTCCTGGGCTTTCTTCTGCCTTTCTTCATCATCATCTTTTGTTATGAAAGAGTAGCCAGCAAGGTGAAAGAGAGGGGCCTGTTTAAATCCAGCAAGCCCTTCAAAGTTATGATGACTGCCATTGTCTCTTTCTTTGTGTGTTGGATGCCCTATCATATATACCAGGGTTTACTCCTCACTAAGAACCAGTCACTACTTTTAGAGTTGACTCTGATACTTACAGTGCTAACCACTTCTTTCAATACTATCTTTTCTCCCACACTCTACTTATTTACTGGGGAGAACTTCAAAAACGTCTTCAAGAAGTCCATTCTTGCTCTGTTTGAGTCAACATTTAGTGAGGATTCTTCTGCAGAAAGGACGCAAAACCTAAACTCAGAAGCCTAAATTTAATTTCCAGATGCTTAAGCAAACACGCACTTGCTCAATTATACCAACAGAGATATGACTTCTGCTTTTGTATGCTATAGTCCCTACAGTAGAGAGATAACTAGGCCGCACTATTGTTAGATCTCTGAGCAATAAAAGGGCTGCAAGAAAACAAGCAATTTGCAAGATCATGTTTCAAATGTGATTTTTTTTTTTTTTTTTTTTTGAGGCAGAGTCTCACTCTGTTGTCCAGGCTGGGGTTCAGTGGTGCAATCTAGGTTCACTGCAAACTCCACCTCTCAGGTTCAAGTGATTCTTGTGCCTCAGCCTCCCAAGTAGCTGGGACTACAGATGTACACCACCATGCCCAGCTAATTTTTTTTTTTTTTGAGATGGAGTCTCAGTCTGTTGCCCAGGCTGGAGTACAGTGGCGCGATCTCGGCTCACTGCAAGCTCCACCTCCTGGATTCATGCCATTCTCCTGCCTCATCCTCCTAAGTACCTGGGACTACAGGCGCCTGCCACCACACCTGGCTAATTTTTTGTATTTTAAGTAGAGACAGGGTTTCACCGTGTTAGCCAGGATGGTCTTGATCTCCTGACTTCGTGACCGCCTGCCTCTGCCTCCCAAAGTGCTGGGGATTACAGGTGTGAGCCAGCGCGCCCAGCCATGCTCAGCTAATTTTTTGTATTTTTAGCAGAGACAGGGTTTCACCATATTGGCCAGTCTAGTCCCAAACTCCTGGTTCCAAATGATGCACTCGCCTCGACCTCCCAAATTGTTGGGATTATAGGCATGAGCCACTGTGCCGGGCCTGTGATTATTTTGACTCACTTTTTATTGTGGAAAAATATGTGTAACATAAGATTTATCATTTTCACCATTTTTAGTGAACATTTCAGTGGCATTGATTATATTCACAACATTGTACAACCATCACCACCATCAATTTCCAAAATTTTTCATCATTCCAAGGACAAATTCTGTGCCCATTAAGTAGTAACTCCCTATTCCTCCTCCCCCTAGTCCCTAGTAATCTCCACACTATTTTCTGCCTCTGTGAATTTGCCTATTCTAGATATTTCACATATGTGAAATTATACAGTATTTACCCTTTTATGTCTGACTTACTTCACTCAGCAAAATGTTTTCAAGGTTCATCTGTGTTGTTACAGGTATCAGAACTTCATTCCCTTTTTACAGTTCAATTATATTTTATTGTACGTATATACCATCTTTTTTTAAATTGTACTTTATGTTCACCTTGTACGTGTGCACAACCTGCAGGTTTATTACATATGTATACATGTGCCATGTTGGTGTGCTGCACCCATTAACTCGTCATTTACATTAGGTGTATCTCCTAATGCTATCCCTTCCCCTCCCCCCTCCCCACAATAGGACCCAGTGTGTGATGTTCCCCTTCCTGTGTCCAAGTGATCTCATTGTTCAATTCCCACCTATGAGTGAGAACATGCGATGTTTGGTTTTCTGTTCTTGCGATAGTTTGCTGAGAATAATTATACCATCATTTTTAAATCCAGCCATCTGTTGTGTTGTTTCCACCTTTTGACTATTGTCAATAAAGTTAGTATTATTGTGAATAAAGCTACTATTAACATTTGTATATAAGTATTTGTGTCAGTCCTTGTTTTCAATTATTGTAAATATATATATAAGAGTGGAATTACCAGGTCAAATGGTAATTTTATGTTTAACTTTTTGAGAAATCATAAAGCTTTTCAATTTGCACCATGTTACATTCTCACCAGCAATGTATAAAGGTTTTCACTTCCCAACATCTGTGCCAACACTTGTTATTTTTCTTCTTTTAATTACGGTATAGTCATTCTGATATGTTGAATCAATCTTCTTGCCTCAGCTTCTGGAGTACGTGGGACTACAGGCACACACCACCATGTCCAGCTAAAATTTTTGATTTTTGAAGCTAGGAATATCAGTTGCCAAATATCAATAGTATCCACGGATTTGAATTTTCTGTTACAGAATCTTCTAACACAGAGACATTTGGATAGAGTTCCCTCATTATTTAGTAACAACTGAATTATTTAACTGGTATGGATAAAACTTAACATGGAAGTGACAAGGCACTCATTTTGTTACATCCATGTTAAAGTATAAAGACATTTCTACTTTAGGGTTTTAATTATTAAGGCATCTTAAGTGTCTTTTTCTAGTATTTATAGAGTAAGCTATCTCCAAAATTTGGGGCTAAAATAATGTTCAAGAATCTGCCTGTTGTAGTAGACTTAATTTTATAAATGCAATAACAATATTAATTTGTATTCTCTGATTTTCAGATTATGCTTCAAGCTTTGTGTACTAAGTGCCAGTACCTAAGTTATGTAGAACCATATAGTATCACTCATCTATTATCTTTGCATTTAGTTAATTCTATCAATCAATCAATACATGTCAATCAGTAGGGAGTCCTGTCTATTCCAAATCAACTGAACTATCTAGTTAGTTCAACTGATACAACATGGAGATATGTAGGTCACATCCCACACTCAGTTCCTGAATATACCAGCATGCTTTGTACAAACCATTCCAAACCACAAGCATATAGCCTATGCAGAAATCCTCAAAATGTATGATATTAATTACAAGGAGATACAGAAAGAAGAAAATTAATCTTCATGACTAACTTTTTATAGAGAAAGTAAGAGTAGTTTGATGTCCTAGAAATCCTGCTAATTGACATGGTATCACGGCTCCCCTGGGCAAGTGGGGGCTTGGTCTCTCTTACTCGGAATGACAAAAAACTTTAGGTAGATGAAAACTTTAATTGCTGGTCCTATTTCAAACTTTTGAAGCTTGAACAGTTTTTTTATTATTTTTTTCTTTTTTGGAAAGGGAGATGTGAATTGATGACCAGGCTGTGGCTCTGAGTAGAGCTGTAATGAGAAGGGTATGGTGCTTTTTTTCCACCCCACACCATCCCAGGTCCTGACAAGCCCACTGAAGTTTTATGATGCAGGATTTAAGAAAGAAAATTATTGAATGAAACATAGGATTCTTTGAAACAAGATTTGGATTTTGGAAATCTAGCAGCTACAGAGAGTGCCTTTTGTCTACCTCCTCAGGCCTGCTACAATAATAAACAAGGAACATGCCCTGGAAAGCATGGATTTTGTGGTGTTTGTAAGCCATATGTTGTCATTCCTTACAGCTATCTATGTATGCTTTAAATTGTCTTTTTCATGAGACCTAGGTTGGGGGCTCTTTGAAGTATTTTGTTCCATCTTTCTATAAATTGTAAATACCTCAGGGATAGAAAGAGTCCTCTCAACTACAGTATTTCATTTTATAGCATTATACACAATTGATAATAAAAGATATTTAATAAAAGTTGAGTTTGCACAATTTCAACATGTAAAGCACTGTATAAATATAAGATATTAAGAGTTTTTTTAAAGTCACTTTAAATGTAAGAAAATAGGGTATAATTAAGGAAATTATTCCCAAGTATATTTTTAACCTCCCAGAAAGCTGGTTAATTTTTAAAAATCTACTCATTATAATTGCATTGATCTCATCAACCTCCTCACTATTTTGAATTCTCAGGACTCAAGATGTAGAGGACTACGTGCTTGCAAACAGGGTGTTCCTAATAAGTCCTGCTCTTGCAAACGAAGCAGGGCGTTCCTAATAAGTCCTGCTCTTGCAAACGAAGCAGGGCGTTCCCCTTAAGTCCTGCTCTTGCAAACGAAGTAGGGCATTCCTCATCAGTCCTGTTCTTGCAAACGAAGTCAGGGAAAGGTCAGAAAAACAACAATGTGTCTTGTGACTTGGTAACATTCCACAAACAACTGTATAAAATAAAGCAGAGCACGCAATTCGAGGCGGCTGCCATGTTTGTCTTGTCTTGTGTTGTCTTGTGTGTTCATTCCTTTGTTTAGGAAACACGCGGACCCCAACATCTGGCGCAGCGAGCAGGGTCCGTGGCTCCACGAGAGCAAGGAACCGGAGGGGGAACACCCCGGGCAGGTAAATAAAGAAAGGGGGACCCATGGGAAAATTATGGGGAATTCCACCTCTCTGGCCTCTGAATATTTGTGGTTACTGCAGGGACTGTTGATGTCTATAGGAGTAGAAGTTAGTTAAGGAAC